CTGGGTGAACAGCAAGGCTAAGTGGAGAGGTCACAAACGAGGTAAAAGGTCGGTCCTGGGCAGCCAGACACTTTGCCCATGTTTGCAGAGCACCACGGCAACTCTTCTGCCTGGCTCCAGGAGCACCAGTCCAGGCCTCTCCCTACCCACCCCCACTGGCCTTCAGTGGCCGTCTCCCAGGCCCCTTACCATCGAACGCAGTCTGAATGGCCCCGGTAATGTCTCTGGCCGCCTCCTCCAGGGCCCCCTGGTCCTCCCCCAGGCCGGTAGAGTACCACCACACAGGCAATAAAGTAGACCACCTCCCCAGAGCGCAACACAAACAGGTTGGAACGGGAGTCACGACCCCTGTACCCATAGCTGGGGATGGGATTCAGGTCAAGGAAAGGGTCAAGTCAAGGGCAGGGGAGGAGTTAGAGAGCTCCGGCAGCTGGCAGGACAGAGGGGAGGACTCTGAGGGGACTCCTGTCCCTAGAGATGCAGGAAAAACTGTGAAAAAGTGGGGGGAAGGGGCAAGGGCAAGAGTGAAAGCTATGGTTCCCCTGGGACCCAAGGGGGTAGGATACACCCAGTCAAGGCTGAGGGTCTCTGGGGGCGGGCCTATGGGCAGCTCCTCAAGGCTGCGGATGCCGGACGGGATGTACATGGTAATAGGACGGCCACGAAGGAACATTTTCACCGAGATGCCTTCTACAGAGAAACAAAAGGGACAGGGGGTGTCAACCATCACCCTGCTGTGGCCCCTTCCAGAAAAATCACCCGCCAGAACTCACCCCACCCCTCCAAAAAAAGCCCTTCTCTATCAAGTCGATTGTGACTGATGGTGATTCCGTGCGTGACAGATGGACCTAATCCCCAGGGTTTGCCTGACTACAATCTGAATGGAAGCCAATCGCCAGGTGCCATTGGGATGGGTTTGAACCACCAACCTTTAAATTAGTCCTCAACTGTACGTTGTATTTTCCACCCAGGAACCTTTCATACCTCACCTATACCCACAGCCATAGAGTTAACTCTAACTTACAGCGAGCCACCCTATAGGAGCTCTGGTAGCATAGTGGTCACGAATCGGGCTGTGAATAGCAAGGTCAGCAGTTCAAAACTACCAGCCATTTCACGGGAGAACGATGAAGCTTTCTGCTCCCGTAAAGATTTACAGCCTCAGAAACCCTGTACAGGGTCGCTATGAGTCAGAACCAACTCCACAGCACTTAACAATAACCTAGGACAAAACGCTGCCCCTTAGTGTTCCGAAAATAAATCGTAACAGATTTCGTCTTTCTCCCATGGAGCGACTGGTGAATTTAAACTGCAGACCTTGCGCTTAGTAGCCCCACGCTTGCTTAACCTGCCGCATCACCAGGGCTCCTTCCATTACCTCATGGGTCTCCGAAAACACCTCAAACCCTAACTGCAACCCACACCAGAATTCCCTTTTCCAAGTTCCTCTTTACGTACCTAAATTATAATTGCTTCTCCTAGATCCAGGGCCCCCAGGGCTGGAAAGGGGATCTTTGCCCCCTCGGCTGTTGGGAAGAGAAAAAAGCATAGGGATTGGGGTCAGAGCCCAAGCAAGACCTGAGGGGGGCGGGGCACGACACAAGAAAGGTACCCAGTTTGCAAAGTGTGCGAGGTAGTTGGGGGAGTTTTCCCTCCATTTAAGAGATGAGAAGATTGAGGCTGAAGAGGCGTGAGTGCTACACAGCTCACAAGAGGCAATGCAGGGCACCAGGCAGCCTTCGGAATCTCAATTCACACAGCCTTTTCCTCTAGACCACAGGGCCTCTGGCAGGCATATCAGCCACCTCCCTTTCCTTTCCCCATCTGTAAAATGGGGCCAAAGGAGCTCTGGTAGCTTAGGGGTTACGAATCGGGTTGTGAACCGCAAGGTCAGCAGTTCAAAACTACCAGCTGTTCCGCTGGAGAAAGATGAGGCTTTCTGCTCCTGTAAAGATTTACAGCCTCGGAAACCCTGTACAGGGTCGCTGTGGGTTGGAACCAACTCCACGGCACGTAACAACAACAAAATGGGGCCAAGGTGAATCCAAAAGGTCTAGCAGCCCTGCCTACCAGGGACCTGGGAGGCAAGCAAGAAAGTCCTCATCAGAAGAAATTATAGGTGAATCCCAGAAATCACTACCTAAGGGTGATAATCTCTTTTCAGAAAATAAAGGTGAGACCACAGTCAGGACTAGAATAAAAACCACACGTCCTGAAGCTGGGTCCACTATAATACAACTACACTCAGGTCCTGGGATTTCTCCTTGCCCTCTAAAATAAAAACTTGGTAGATTTGCGGGGCTGAAGCTCTAGGACAGCTACCCACGAAAAGCATGGGAGCTTTCAGAAATCCTCTTAGGATCTCAGACGGTGTGTTGGGATCTGGTGGAACCGGGGCAAGAACAAGAGTCAGAAGAGCTGGGTTCAAATCTCCTGAAGCTAGCTGTGTGACCCCAGGCAAATGACTTACCCTCTCTGAACCTGCTTCCTCACCTGGACAATGGGCAGCATGAGACCACCTACCCCCCAAGGATGTTGTGGGGATTGAATGAGTTGGACGAGGTCGAGTGTTTGGCACAGTGCCGGGTGGGTACACAGCAGGCGCCCCGTGAATGCTTGCTCCTTTCTTCCTGTTGGGCAATGAGGTCCTGCACCCCGCCCAGGGAAGGGAGGTGAGGGCTGTGGAAAGTCAGAGTCTGAGCACAAGGCGGGGCAGGTGGGGGGGAGCCTCGCCCACCTCTCGGTGCTCCCAGACCGCAATAACAGGTTGGCTGAGGAGGCTGCCTTCCGGGAGAGCTTCTGCCGGGGCCGCTCTGAGGGGGATGAGGAGGAGGAAGAATTTCTCCGTGGCCTGATGGGGGTGCACAGAGCCGGACCAAGGGTTACACCTCTAATAATGCTTCCTAATCCTCCCAGCCCCCCCGCCTTGGCCACAGGACACCTACGTGTCAGCACGCTGTGGGGGCTGCATGGGCTTGAGGACCCCGGGGGGGCCAGGGGAGCCAGTACCACTGCTGCTGCTGCCCCCTCCTTCCAGCTGGGATCCACCGGGCTCTTCACTGCCCCCTGGGGGAGCCTGGGGCCCATTGCTCAGGCCAGAGGGCCTGGGGGGCAGTGGCTGCGTCTCTGGCTCCGTCTGAGTACCTCGGCTCACCAAGGAGGGGCTGCATGTGGGTGGCAGTCCCGGGGGTGCTGCAGGGCTGCTGGAGACATAGCAAGTCAACCTGAAGCCCCCAGAGGTCCCAGGAAGGAGGAGTCGGGGGTAGGATGGCATGCATACCTGTCCCTGATGGGGGCTGGTGTGACAGTGCCCTGCAGTGTAGCGGGGAGTGACTGTAGCCGCAGCAAGCGGAGGGCTTCTGCCAGGGCTGCCTTCACCAGCTCCATCTCCTCCTCCTGCACCTGAAGGCGCCGGCTCAAGGAGAGCAAGGCCTCCTGAGTAGAGCCCTCACCTGGGAGCAGGCAAGAAGCAATCAGAATGCACCTCAGAAAAGGATGCATGTCCTACAGGAGGGCCCCCTGCAAAGAGCTCCGGGTTGAAGGCTCGCCCAGAGGGGAGGAGATGGGTGGTAGCAGATCAAGGGCCTCCTCCTGTCAGGGCAGGCGAGGAACCTGGCAAAGCTCCCTTCCTGCTGCCGTCTGAGCCTCGGAAAGACAGCAAGTACTACGGAGTGCCAGGGGGAAACATGGAGTACTGCCGAGGAACGTGGGAGCCACAAAAAAGCACAGTACTTACTGGTGAGGGAAAGCAGGGAGATAGGGGCTTTGCAGAGCAAGCTCAGATCTCCAGCGGTGGGGGCACCAGGGGTGGCACAAGAGTAAAATCACCCTAATGGACCCAGAGTACCAGAGATGAGCTTCAAAGTGATAAGATTAAGGCTATCAGTGGAAAGCAGGGTCTCAGTGAAGGTTCCAGGGTAACGTGGGAGTCACAAGGGACCCGAAATACCAAAAGAGGCCCAGAGTGGCATAGAGGGCAGGGAAGCACTTAGGAGCACACAGTAGCAAGGGACTTGAGCAACTTTGGGGAAGTTCTGAAGTGACAGCAGGAAGACCCTAGTCTAGGAACAGGGACCGAGGAACAGTGGGAGATGCTCGGCGCCCACGGGACGGAGAAGCACGCGGAGACGCCATCAGGCGGCGGCAGCGCACTGGCAGCGCCCGACGGGCCGCCCGCCCCGCCCCGTACTCACCGGGCCCCGCGGCCCCGTCCATGCGGCCCCCGGGCTGCTCCGAGCGGCTGCGGTGACGGAGGCGTCTAAGCCGCGGGGGCCATGGGCCAGGGAGAGGGGAAGGGAAAGCACCCCGGGGCGCGCGCGCAGAGGCGCCGCGCCACCCCCGGGGGCGCTGTTGGGCGCGGGGCAAGCGCCTGGAGGGGGCGCTGTGGGGCAGGGGCCGCAGTCGCAGAGCCTGCAGGGGGTCTCAGGCTCTTCCGGGACGCGCTCGGCTCCCGGGGGTGGGTGGCGGGACGGTCCCGGGCCCCAGCGCCACAGCACAAACAGGCGCCGGACGCGAAGCCGCCAGGAAGCGCGGGAGGGGGGCGGGCCGGGGGGGGGGCGGATCGCTTGGTAACCCCTCCTTGTCCGGGCCGGGGCCGGGGCGGGGCCAGCCACTGACCCCTTCACCCCGCCCGGCCTCTGGTCTCCGGGACGTTCCGGACTCCCCGCCCCCAGCTCCCAGGGAAGTTTCCGTCCGGGACCCAGTGCCCCTCTGGCTGAGCGGAGAAACAACCCTAACTTCCGCGAGGAGACAGGGGCTGGGTCGAAATGGGCCCTATGCCCGGGGGCGGAGCTTCTCAGGGGCAAGGCCAAGGTATCCTGAATTTTGGCAGACCGGGCATCGGCCGGTGGTTATTAAGGAAGGCTGGGAATGGAGACTGCCCTGGGTATTGGGATCAGAGTGGCATTAACCCAGTCCAAGCTGGGTATCGCTGACTCAGCATCCTGGTCCGGTCAACCCCAGACCCGACAGTTTTGCATTCCCTCAGACAGAGATGGGAGATGGCGCCAGTGCTGCCACTGGTGCTGACCCTCCAGCTCCGCATCCGTCTAGCATAGGGACTCTGGTTCCTCTGCTGGCTGCTGGCAGACTGGTGGCCTCACCATTCTCTGTAGCGGGCACCTCCTGGTCCAGCTGTGGCCCCTTGGCACCTTCCTGTCCATTCCCTGTCTTGCCCCAGGTTGTCCTAGCAGCATGGGCAGTGGCTCTGGGCACAGGATTCGTGGGTGCAGAAGCCAGGCGGGCAAGTCTAGATGCAGGTCGATACCCACCTTGAAGAGGGGTCCTGGGCCCACTCCTGGTGGCACTGCTGGGCGTGGGGGCCTCCTGGTCATAGCTCTGGGGCTAGCCCTGGGTTTACCTGGGAGTCTGGGCACAGGGCTGGAGGAAGGCCTAGGGTCTGCCTTGGCTCACTACAGGCATACAGAGTTACCCAGGCAATGTCATGCCAAGCGGCTGATGGATGAGCTGCAGCTGAGATACAACTGCTGTGGGCACCATGGCTACAAGGATTGGTTTGGGGTCCAGTGGGTCAGTAGCCGCTACCTGGACCCCAATGACCAGAACATGGTCAAGTAAGTGATTGGCTTCTCCCTGCCACACAACCTCCTCCCAGACAGGCTCCCTTCTGCTTTTCCGAAACCCTCCTCGTCCCAAAGGGCACAAATGAATTAAGAGCCTAGTGGTTGCGAGACTGGATCACAGCTCTGCCCTTTATCAGCTCTGCGATCCAGGGCATGTTACCAAACTGCTTTGAGCCCATTTCATCATCTGTAAAACAGAGATAACACTTGTACTTATATAGGGTAAGGAAGCCCTGGTCGTGTGCAGTGAGTTATGCGTTGGGTTTCGAACTAAAAGTTCGATGGATAGAATCCTCCAGGTGCTGTTCAGGAGCCAGATGGTTTCAGGGATTTACAGCCTCAGAGACTCTAGGGAGCAGTTCTGCTTTTCTCTAGAGTTGTTGAGTCGGATTGCCTCAGCGGCAGTGATGGCCGGGACCACATAGGGTGGTTGTAAAGACGAATGATGCATACCTGGCACATAGTAAAGCCATCAGTACATGTTTTTACTGTCAGTTGCCCCTTCCCAGCTTCTGCCTGGGTCCTCTCTCTGAACATGCTAAGAGCCCACCTTCCCTTTGTAGCCGGATCCAGGAAGGTTTATACCTCACTGACAGGGTCCCCTTCTCCTGCTGCAACCCTCACTCACCACGACCTTGCCTGCAAAGTCGGCTCTCAGACCCCCACGCCCACCGCATCTGTGAACCCCAGTAGCCCACTTTAAACCTCTGGGTCCAAGGGTGCCACAGGGTACTGTTGAAGTATTACAGCGGCTGATGAGCACCCTGTGCAACATGCTGGCTGGCACCTTCCTGCTACAGGTCAGTCAGCCTCCCTCCATCTGAAATGCCCCCTACAATCCCAGGATTGCCGACCCCCTCCTTGATCTCTGCCCCTTTGTTTTCCCCTCAGACTCTGGTGCTGCTGGGCCTTCGGTACTTGCAGACAGCGCTGGAGCAGCTCGGGGGGCTTCATCAATGGGGAAGGAGAGTCCTAAGGGTATGTCTTTCCTGGCCAGCTGAAAGACATGCTGAAAAAGTCCTGGCTACAGGGAGGCGCTGCCCACAGGCCAGCCCCTGAGGAAGTTCCCCTCCTGACAAGGGTCTAGCTGAGGCCTAGAGGTCCTTACCAAGGCTTCTAGTGGGAGTGCCTGGGATTCCAGGAGGAGGGTAGGCAGTCAGAGGGTCTGGAGTGAGTGAGAAAACCAGGTGTCCTGGGACCTAGCTCTCTGTGGTAGAAACCACCAGCAAACAGAGGAAACGGGGATGGGAAGTCACCCGCAAAAGAAGTGGAGACAGTTTGTATATTACAGACTCAATAAAGCTTTGGGACTGAGGCCACTGTCCTTCACTTCAAGGGGGAGGGGACTTATGTCTGATGGAGAAGCCAGGACCCCACGGTTTCTACCTGGGGTTGGCCTGGGCAGCAACAGGTGCCCACCATGTGAGATAAGAATGCAAGCCCTAGATCCGCTAAGCGCTAAGCAAAGGAAAGAGAGAGCCTTCCAGATTGAGAGTCTTTATTCCGGAGGTAGGAGGGGGGTCAGCATGCTGAGGTGGGAGGGTCCAGCCCAGCTCCTCCAACTCCCCCTCCCCCAGTGCATGCCCATCCCCAATAAATTACCCAGTTTACTCAGCTGCCCTCCCTCCTGAGGCGGTCTGCCCTTCTGCTCCGCCCTACAAGGCTGACCCTGGCTCAATACAAGGGCTGCTTGTCCCCGGCCTGTGGGCACCACCACGTGGCAGGCGGGGGTTGGGGGGAGGGGAGGAGCAGCTGGGCCACACCCTAGGGCTGGAGGGACAGAGGGGCCAGCCGGCTCTGATGGGTCAGGACTTGGGAAACCACATCCTGGGCAGGCCAGGTGCCCAGTCCTACAAGGTCCATCCATGCCTGTGATGGGAGGTGGTGGTCTGCTTGGGGTGTCCTGGGCACCATCACACCTCCATGGCCGGGTCTGAGCCCCGGCCCTGCCGCTGCAGCTGTTCCTCCTGCTTCAGCTTGGGCTTCTCTGTCCGTGTGTGCCACACCAGCACCTGAAGGGGGTGGACTTCTGTTAGAGCCGGGCCAGGGCAGGTCTCGGGTCTACCCAAGGAACCCTGGTGGTACAGTAGGGTAAGCAGTGTACTAACTGTACAGTCAGTGGGAGAAAGATGAGATTTACAGCCTCAGAAACCCAAGGGGCAGTTCTGCTCTGTCCCAGTGGGCAGTAGCTCCAAGTTGAGATCGACTTCATAGCAGTGGGTTATTTTTTATTTCACCCCTTACCCTCTCTATGCCACTGGGGTACTGAGGCTGTGGGAACCAGTGACAGGAGACCATGCGTCCTCTGGCTCCCAGCTTCCCCTTCAGGTGAGCAAGGTTGAATCTGAGCTCTGGAGGATCACCCCTTGGCCCTCCTCCCCTTCTCCCATCACCAGCCCATTTCAGAGCCTGCCTTGGGCTCCAGCCCCTTACCCGTGTGCAGTTGGCAGCCCGTGGCTCCAGGTCCTTGGGATCCACAAGGTGGCTCAAGAGACTACTCTCCAGGTGGCCCCGGGGAGCAGTGCCATCAAACTGGGCATTGGGCTTAGCCAACAGTGAAGACAGGGCCACAGCAAAGCCCGCCATATCCATTGGGAAGGGCCTATTTGGCTCCCATGCCGTGTGGAAGCCCACAACCCGGCCATCCTGTACCCGTGGACCCTCGAATCGCAGGCCACCTACTAGCCCCACGGGCCACACTGAGACACCTCGAGTCCAGCGCATCTAAAGGAGGTCAGGAGAGAGGAAACACAGAGACAGGGTGGTCCAGCAGAAAGGGAGCAGCAGGCAGGACCATTTGAGTCATTCTCCCCCATTGCTCCCTATTCCTGTCCCAGCAGCCCCCAGCAACACTGGTAACCAAAGCCACAGATCAAGCTGCCCCCACTTGGCCTCATTCCCCATCCCAGTGCTCACCTCCTCAAAGAGCTCCCGGCTGTAAGTGTTGTCATCGTCCGCAAAGTACACAACTCCCCGAGTCCCTGGCGGGGGTGGGTCCTTCTCCCCACCTACTGCACCCCCGCCACCCCGGAGCCAGTCCAGGGCCTTGTTCCGCTGCTCTACACCACGTGGCCGAACCCAGCCTGGCTCACCCTCCCGAAGCCTCTGAGCCTTGGGGGTGAGGACAGCCAGGTGTGTGAAGAGGAGGCCGGAGGCGGCCAGCAGCCCCGAGACCAGCGGGGTGGGTCCCTCAGCGTCTTCCACCAGCAGCCAATGCAGTCGGGGCACCAGGCTCAGCGTCTGGGACAGGCGCACCAGCTCGGCCTTCTGCACCAGCCTACAGGGGAGAGAGATGGCAAGAGGGGAGGGCCCACTTGACCTAGCTTCGGTGGCTTGAAGATCAGAACTCAACTACAGGACAATAAAGCAATTTAATAAAGGAAGCAAGTGTAAATTGCTACAATTTTGAGGAACCTGACCTATACTTATGGATGTAGTAGCTCTAAATACTGAAAAGGAAGGTGTCTTCACATCAAGAATCAAACCTATCCCCTCTGTACACAGGGTTGATGGGGACAGGTTGATGGGCTACCTAAAAGGGGGGTGGGGGGCTATAAAGGCACAAAGTGACTGGCTTACAGGGTTTCAAGAGAGAGTTTAGTTTCAGAGTGTACAAGGGAAGGTAGAATCCCTACTGAATAGTTTTCATCTTTGTCTAGGTGGGTTTGGTGAAAGGAGATGGGGATAGGATTCATTTGATTCAATAGTAATTGTTATCATGATTAATTGCTATTGTCACAACTGTAAAGGCAGAAATTATGCAACAAAAAGGGGGGAGTAGTTAATCTTACATTCCAGGTACAGAGGACCCCAAGACCATCAAGAGAGAAGAGCATGAGTGGAATGTGGAACCCTAGTCAGAGAAGCAGCAACATCAGAGATGGAGGCAGAGGTGATGACATGGAGAGATAGAGCAGCAGAGATAGAGAAAGGCTGTGTGCTGGCAGCGAGGAGGATGGCTTGCAAAATGTGCTCTTTGTTTAAACAATTATATATTCCTGTGTACATGAAAAAAACACACACACACACAAAAAAAAAAACACAGAGGGAACAGAAGCAAATACTGTTAACCAATGACGCACGGGGGGATTGTAATCATTGCAATGAAACAAAATTATGATTGGTTGAGTGCAAAACCGATGTTCTCCCATGTGAACTATCACTTAATTCATAATAAAAGCTTTTTTAAAAAAGCATCTATTGGGGACACGTGGCTTGTCCTCCTAGACCCCTTCTGGCAGCTTCCATAGCCTGTCCCCAAACTCCCCACTGACATTCCCTGTCCTGTTCCTTCAGTCCAAGTCTGTCACCCACCTGAAATCCAGGCTGTAAGAAACTTAAAGGCACAGACTCTGGCATCAGGCAGATTTGGATTTGAATCCTGGCTTTGTAACTGGGTTAGACATTAGACTACTAACTGCAAGACTGATGGTTCAAACCCACTAGCTGCCTCATGGAAGAAAGATGAGACTGCCTGGGCCTACAGTTTCATAGTCCCGGTTACCATACATAGGACCTTTATGTGTTGGGACTGACTTGATGGCATTGAGTTCGGTGGTTGTTTTTCTTTTTTTGTTTTTTGTAACTTGTTAGGTGAGATGTTTTGAGAAACTGACTCAATCTCCCCAGCTGTAGGTAAAGTGGGGAAAAGAAGTTCTAGTGACACAAAGCTAAGAACTCAGCAGCTAATGGGAAGGTGAGAGTTTGAACCCACCCCGTGGTTTCACATGAGAACACGGTGATCAGTGATCGGCTCCTGGAAAGATTACAATCGAGGAACCCCTATGGGGCAGTTCTGTCACATGGGGTTATGAGTCAGAATCGGCTCCCCCTGTCCATGACACCCAACAACAACATAACAGAAATAGCAACATTTTCATACAATGGTGCTCTAAAGAGGAAATACAATCATGACTCTAAAACATCCGAGAAACCAGGTCCTTTCTCACCTGTACTTACATTTCCAGGTGAAAGCATTTCTACTGGAGGAACCCCAGGGACTCATTTCTCTCCAGGGGAGGAGAACTTAGCAGGTTTCCAGAATGGAGATGTTGTCTCTCAGCCTGTCCGAGGTTGCTTTCTCCTCCAGATCTGCCTGCCGGACCCAGTGGGAGTGGGGAGGGGACCATGGTGGTCTGTAGCTACCTGTGCCTAGGTAGGTGGCTCAGTCATCAGTCATCTGATTCCAGGGATGGACCCTGGCATAGGTATACTTTGGGCTACAGATTCAACACTACATGTGCCCATTGGTTTTACCAGTGACAAAACTATATTCTGATTCTTTTATTTTCAATGTAAAACAGCACAGTGTCTGGTAGAATGGAAGCATGCTGGCAATACTGGCTGGGCTTACTATTTCTCCACCATGGCAAGACAGTAGGGCCAAACTCATTTCTACTTCAAGTCAGCTAGACGATCTCAAATTTCCTAGCCAAAGGCCTCCTAAGAAAAGAGCGGTAACTCACTGGCAAGCTTGAAATGTCTTTGAAATCTGATTGTCCGACCTAAAAATTGAGTAGGAATCTTGTATGCGACTTCATGTACATCCAGGTCAATTTTAATAGAAAAACAACCATATGTCCCACCAATCTTTGAATAAAAATAGACTTCATTTATCCAGGTATTTGGCATGCCCTAGTTTAAGGAACTTCAGTTTGAAAGGGATGATAGTTACTGGTAATTGGAATGTTGAAGTTGGAAACAAAGAGAGGCAAGCAATCAGTACTTAGGAAATATGACCTTGGTGATAGAAATGACACTGAAGATTGCTTGATAGAATTTTGCAAGACCAACAACTTTTTCATTGCAAATATCTTTTATCAACAACATAAATGGTAACTATACATGTGGATGCTGTAGATAAGCACTGGACTGGAAAACACAAGGTTGGGAGTTGAAACCCACTAGTTGCCCCTTGGAAACCCTATAAAGGGTCATTATGAATGGGAACCGACTCAATGGCACTTCACACCACCAACATGATCACCCGTGGACCTGGCAAAGTGTAATACACAGGAAGTAAATTGACTGTGGGAAGAGATGAAGGAGCAACTCCACATCATCAGCCAAAACAAGGCCAGGACAGACTGAGGTTCAGAAGATCAACAGCTCATATGCAAGTTCAGGCTGAAGCTGAAGGCAAGGCCACCACAGCCTAAACCCGACTTTGAGTATATCCCATCTGAACTTAGAAACAATCTCAACAGATTTGATGCATAGAATACTAATGATCAAAGACCAGAGGAGTTGTGGGATGACACCAAGAACATCATACAGGGCAAAAGAAAACGGTCATTAAAAAGAAAGGAAAAAAAGACAGTAGAGACTCTGAAACTTACTCTTAAAAGGCAGAATAGCTAAAGGAATAATGAAGTACAAGAGCTGAACAGAAAATTTCAAAGGGCAGTTCAAAAAGACAAAGATTTACAAAGAAATATGCCAAGACCTGGAATTAGAAAACCAAAAGGGAAGAGCAGACTCAGTATGTTTCAAATGGAAAGAACTGAAGAAAAAGTCAAGCTTTGACTTGGAATACTGAAAGATTCTATGGGTAAAATATTGAATGATGCAGGAAGCATCAAAAAAAGATGGAAGGAATAGAGTCTCTGTACCAAAAGTAATTGGTCGGTGTTCAACCATTTCAGGAGGTAGTATGTGATTAAGAACCAATGGTAGGAAGCGGCTGCGGACTTTAGACCCAGAGAGGGAGAGGGGCTGTGTGCTGATGACCAGGGGGCAAGCTTGTAGTGTATATACCCTTTGGTTGGTTGATGATGCATGGAGGGGATTG